GATATGCCTATAGGCCTTAGTTCTTTAAATGTCCACTGTCTTCAGTGACAATTGACAGCTTAACAGTCGGGGTTTCTCCACACCACAGTAATACGATTCACTTAATTTGCTTCTTTGCAACTGCTGAAATTATTTTTGAAGAAATAATTCATTCTCCTGCCTTGCAGCACAGCAAACCTGTAGGAGGTTTGTTTGTTTTTTTCACTCAATGTAACCCCTGCGTTAAGATGGAAAATCTGGAAAAGTGCAGGTCAGGAGAAAGTCATGCCTACAGAGCCAACTAGGGAAGTTTTCTCAGCTATCTATTCATATAATTTGCTTGGTCTTGTCATTGGGCTTGTTTAATCTTTCGTATGCACCAAAAGAGCTCAGGCATATTTACTTTGAATGAAATCCTGACTGTAGATTCTAGATCTTTGTGCTATCAGATGTAGCCCTAACAAACTGCCTTTATCCCCAGCCTGCATCCTCACAAATTTTCTAAATTTCACTCCAGTGCTGATGCTTACTGTCTCATGGTCCCTGAGTTAACATAGCATGAACTCATCATTACTGGATTTCTCAAAGCCAATTTCAGTGGAACCACCTCTTAGCCACTACCACCCAGACCACTTCCCCTTTTACTTTCAATTGTGTAACCTCCCTGTGGCATCTTGGGAAACCAGCAAGTGAATGTTTACTACCCTTTAACATCTCTTAGCAACTGGAAATAAAAAGGAATTGGTATCATATAACCTACCAGCTCTGCAGACTGGTAACAAATGCTCCAACCAATAATAGCCCTTGGAATGATGCTTGAACCTCTTCAATAGTATAAATAGGTATTAATACTATTTACCTTAACATATAAAACAATACTTTATTCAGTAGCTGTGAAAATGTGGGCAAAAGCTTGTAGCCAAGGCTATTCTTGTAACCAAGTGGCTGTGTGCCTGTTTAAGACCCAAGTTAAGAACAGGAGGATTTGGACATCTATATATATTCTTGTAATTTTTCCATGATTGCCCTGGTTGCCCACACAACAACATTCACTATTTACATTAGCGGGTTTAATTTTGCCACAGTGAAGGGCACTCTGGCTCCTGAATATTTTACTCCAGATGGGATTTACTTTCTTTCTCCCTCCGCAGCTGCCTGCGGTTTACCTCCTGCTGATGGATGATCTTTCCCTGGCTAAAGCATTTTTCCCCAAGTGTGAAATTGATTCCAGATGACAATCAAGTGTGTGACTCCCTTCCCACTTGGGTCATCTCCAAAGACTCCACTCTCCCCTTTTTTAAGCTATATTTTAATTGAAAATGGCTTCCACACAATTTAATAAATGCTTATACTTTTATTAAAGTCGGAATGAGATGAAATACTGACACATTCAATTTTAATGCACTTCTCCACGGAAGCATTTATAGAAACTACGTGAAAACAACAACAACACATTTCTGGCATCAGACACTTGTTTGCAAGCACGTACACCGAAGAAGCAAATGCAAGCTGTGGTAGGAGTAACAGTCTTCCTCAGCCCCACCAGGCAAGATTTTTTTTTGAAAGAAATATTAAATTATACTTTGGGCTTGATGTTTTCTAAAGCTTCTGAATTCCTGGAGCTCCCATCAGTTTCCCAATGGCTAATGTGGTCCATTGATCAGCAAAGATTTGTAAGCTTTCCAATTGATATAGTCCTGCATCTTTCTTTGTAGCATCTCTTTAGAAGGATAAGGCTGAACCTGGAAAGCATAAATGCTGACGGTAAAATATACTGTGTAATCTCTATTAGCCATCCACAGTTAATCTTGTGACAGTAAGTAGAGTGAGGCATAAACTGCTTTGATATGACTACACCAAAGTATCATTGATCACTGGGGCTTGAAATGCAAACTTGCTCAGCAAAGAAGTAGATAAATACAGCTGGACTATTAATCCATCCCAAGATTTGCATTATAGTGATTGCTGTGCAAAAATCTGTCCAAACCCATGTGCAGTATACCAGTGTGTATATGAAAGCATTTAGGATTGCATTAAATGCTGAACTTCTATCTTTTAGTGCATTTTCCAAATACCTGGTTGGATCCAAGTTTTACAGTGGGTGTTTTCCAAGTTTTAATTGAGGTTTCAGAATGCTGCTTTACTTGTTACAAAGCCAGACAGTGAGATGACATGTTTGAATTGACTGAGCATATGGGGCCAGATCCAAATTATTCTCTCCTCCAGGTAGGCACAGCTCGACCTAAAAATTAGGCACCTTGCCTGAGACAGGTGGGAGAATTAGGTGATTAGGATGCATATTTGGTTGATGAAGGCAGATGGTCCGCTCCACAGGGCAATAGGGAAATGACTACAGTGAACCAGTAGGCCATGCTATACACAGAGATGCATCTGAACTCCTACTCCTCCCCAGGGCAAGAGGCTGAACACTAGGGTCAATGTGCTATTGCTTTTTGGTCATCTACAGGGCATTTTTGGTATTCACCCACCCAGGGGAGTTCTATCCTTGGATGCAGTGCTGTGTGCATGGATGACTATGGACACTCCTTGTGGACACCTGCTGGGGTTAGACACCTGAAAATGGAGTATACCAGAACCCATAGCTACCAGATTTAGGCACAGGAACAGAAAAAGGATGTGCATATCCCTCTTTTGCCCCTATAAGTCAGTGGCTATGGCACTCCCTTGAGAAAGTAGTGGTGCTGAATTTTGGTCTCCTTCACACAGAGGGAGTCTGAACCAGAGATACTCTCACTTCCTAGCACATTGCTGTAACCAGCACATGACCAGTCAGTCATGCTCTGCTGCCTCCTTTAGAAGGTGATTTGGGGCTGTAAATCTACAGACACAAAGGGGCTGTAAATCTACAGACTGTAGGAAATGCAGTCCTAGTTTAAATTATGCCAGGTGAAATCATAGCCAAGCCTATATCCCTTGTCCTGTAGGAAAGGGAATAAAAGTATTTTCTTGCCTCACAAGGATGCCATGAGGAGAGTGCATTAAAACTAGACACTGTGGGCATGTCTACATGTGCAATAAATATGCCTGAATTTTCTGCGCAGAAAATTCAGGTTTATTAACCTGCAGCCCTGCACACATTTGAACGTGTGCCTGTTGGGAACAAATTTGCTCCCGATGGGAGCTGTTCAGTCCAGAGCTGCTCCTGCCCCTCTCTGCTCCCTGGCTGCAAAAACTGTGGGTTGGGAGTGAGAGACACCTGGAAATCTGGTTAAGCAATATACACACACACACACACACACACACAGTATCAATTCTACCACTGAGCTATGAGTTCCCCCATTCCAGCTGCTGCTTGAGATTAGTTAAACCTTGTAGCAGAAGCCAATAGGTGGGCATACCGGGGGTAGTCACTTCTTTTACACAAATGCATTATGAGTAAAAACAATAGGAGAAAAGGCTTATAAGAACATTAAGTAATGTGTCTGGTACTACCTAAAACTGTTCCAAAGATATCTAGAGCTGGCTGGATAGTCAAGACACGTGTCAGTCAATTCTGCTTCTGTCTGATGTTCCTGCCCCCGCTTCTATGGAAAGCCATCTTTTATACATGCTATCTCCAAGTATTATACATATTCATTCCTGATGCCATACACAGATATCTGAAAGATTAACATATTCTGTTCATTTGTTGGTTAGGACCAGGGATATATACATATCAGTCCAACACAATGTTTTATTGACATATTTACAATTTTAAAGTAATTTGGAAGCCTACCAGTATGTATATATAGTGACATTTCATTTTAATCATGGAAAAATGCAAATTTGGGGTTTTTTAATCAGATAATTTTCAATTTTTAAACAGGGAACACCAGGATCTCTGGTCCTCACCAATAAATGAACAGAGTGTATTCATCTTTCAGATATCTGTATATGGATAATAACTGGAGATAGCGTGTATAAAAGATGGCTTTCCAAAGAAGCGGGGGCAGGAACATCGGACAGAAGCAGAATTGACCAACACGTGTCCTGACTATCCAGCCAGCTCTAGATATCTTTGGAACAGTTTTAGCTAGTACCAGATACATTACTTATAATGTTCTTATAAGGCTTTTCTTTTATTGTTTTTACTCATATAATACATTTGTGTACAAGAATTGACTATTCCCCCGGTGTGCCCACCTATTGCCTCCTGCTACGAGGTTTACTTGATCTCAAGCAGCAGGGGAACGGGGGAACTCATAGCTCAGTGGTAGAATCAGTTCTTTAAAAGGCCATGCCTAATACTCCTGTGATGGGGCCGGCAAGGAGAGCTTTGGAAGGTAACTTTGTAGGTGCTCTATTAAATGCCTATGCTAGGAGAAAATTCTTCCAGGTAAAACCAGAACACTTGGAGCTCTTTATGTTACTTCAGTCTCAGTTGTAGAGGGGTGGATCAGGGCTGATGATTTCTCACCGCATCTGCTGAGAGGTCACTTCATTGGCCTGTCATATGATCCATCAGCCCTTGTGATAGGGCCATTGGTGAGGTATGTTGTTAAATAACAATATGCTCACTAACAAATTATGGGAAAACAAGAAATTGGTTCAATGGATGTGGAATCTTGTTTTCAGCCTCAGTGTCTACTATTTTACTGTTTCATCCACTGTTTCAAATGTTGGGAGGCAGGACAAGTGAGCAACAGCATGATGCACAGAGACACAGGAGTAGGAATCAGGAGACTTGAGTCTGTTCCTCTCTCCCACTGATGTGCCGTTTGCCCTTGAGCAAGTCATTCTACCACTCATTCCAGCATGGCATTGTGCAGTTCAGACATGCCCTGTCTCTTCACGTGTAAACTGGGGATAATTTTTTTGCAAAGTGCTTGAAAATGTATGGCTGAAAGTGCCAGATTATTAAACTTACAATATAATAAAAATTGAGTAAAAGAATAATACATGATTTGAGCATATTGAACAGTATTCACTGCAAATAAATGCATGGTGAAGAAAACTAACCTGTCCTCTGGGTTCTTAGATTATGCCGCTGTATCTGTGGCATCCGTTATTACAAGATCACACTAGTCTACAATTGTCCAATATGCTGCAGCAATGCTACCATAAATGTAAATATTCTGGGCCACTAGGAAGGAATCCTGAAATTCACATAATAAGGCATGAATGAACATTTAATTACAAAATTATCTATATTCTTTGCACTATCATTGCAAATGCTTAACTGTCTTACTAGGTTTGGGGGCTTTTCTTTTCCACAAGAGAACTAAATACTGCAAAATAGAGCTTCCTTGACAATTTAATTTTATCTATAGACTTCAATCTGGCAAAGTCTGAGGAAATCGTTCTTGCTGTAGATGTGGTGATGAGACTATAGAGGGAAAAGAAAGGCAATAAGAAGAGAAAGCTTTTGAAATAAATGAGTGTAATAAATGGGTACCATTGCAAACCACAGAATTTCTTTGGGATTGATTTTGGCTGATTTATGTACCAGGCAGTACAAGTTGCATCTCTAAAGAAGTCTAATTATGAGATTAAATGCAATGGCTTGTAGCTGCACTAAGCATAAGATACGGATAACACCTGCCAATCATTTTTGTTTGTTTGTTTGTTTTTTCTAGGCTTTAAGGAAGCTGAAGAAAGTAGAAATGGGTGTTTACAAATGTAACAAATAGTTTTGGACATGATGGAGGCCAGGATTATATAGAAAGATAGGAGTAGCAGTACTAGATCCAAACAATATGTTAGTATAATATGCTACCTGGAACAATGACTTGTGCCAGGTATCTTGGCTATGACAGTGAACGTGGCCACAGAAGTATAGGGATTTTTTTCTAATACCTTATGATTAGTGGCTATAACTTTTGACTCTTTTTCTTGTACATGTTTTGGCTTAAATTATCAAACCCTAAGGGAGTTAGGTACTCAATTGAATTTCATTGAGTCTCTTTGAAAATCCCTGGCCTTTTATTTCAGCTAGTCTAATTTTCAATGATTACTCTTATTCATGTGACTTTCTAATAATTTTGCTACTCTTCCTTTGTCCTTGGCCTCAGCAGTACCACATGGCAGGGAGTGCTAGAGCACTTGTACACATTGGGGGGAGGGGGGGGGAGAGGGGGAGGGTTAGTCCTTAGGGTTGCATTCTGTGCCCCCTAAATTGAAACGGTGGGTTTTTAATTGAAACCCACCATTTTAATGTAGGGGTTTCTGTCTCTGTTATGGCGAGGGGCCCAAACCTTTCTTTTTTTTCCTGGCAGAGCCTGCCTACAGCCAGGGGTGAGCTGAGCAGCCCCTGAACTAAAGGGGGCCCCGGTCCTTCCCTCCTTCCCTCCACGGTGGTAGCACCACCCCCCCCCCCCGCC